TATCATATATGTAAGTCTTGGACCGGCCCCTGGCGAAGAGGTACAGCGACCCTTATCGGCGAGAAGCCTAAGCATTTGTTTAGGGAACGCGTGTTCTAAAAAGCAATTTTGCAGTTTTTGGTGCCTATTCTTACTACTGTAATAGAGATATCTCTAATGTTAATCTTCTAATAATGTTTGTCGCTAAGTAAATTTTGAATTGTTTGATTTTATATCTTGTAATTATTATTGTAATTTAATAGTTTTATCAGACACATAAACCATTTTAGGTGCAATATATTTAAAACAAATTATAAATTTTAAAGTGTTGAACATCTAAACTAATACAATAAATATGGTGCAATAAACCTCTTTAATTAACGACACAATTTATTCTTGTAATCTTTATAGGCCTACCATATTATAAGCTGCTTAATTTTTTTTTCATATTTTGAAATTTTGTGCTTAACTTGTATTTACCTAATATTACTATTAGGTTTTTCTAAATGTTTTGTGTCTTTGTTTGACGTTTACCTTGGAATTGTTTTAAATGAACATTGGCTTAGTTTTTTGTATAATGTATTCCTTTATTTCTTTTCTAAATAAAATGATTATTGAAATTCAAAATAGAAATCTCTATTTAAAATACAAATATCTCTATTTAAAAATTAAGATATCTGTATTTAAAACTGATCACTACTTGCGATTAAATAACAATTCGGCTCCCCATATTAGATATTAAATAGCTTAACAAATAAATTACTTACGTCTTAGTCTTAGATCATCCACACCAGGAAATGGAAATACAGTGACGCAAGTGGATGTTTTATACCACTAAAATCGATTGGCGACAATATGTACACAACGAAAGGACCATTCAATATAACATAATCAGTACAATAGATACAAGACCAATGTAGTGAATAATATTGAAATTCCCAAGCAACGAACAAATGCCATTGACTTTTATTTAGAGCATCATCATATTCACACACATTCCATATTTTACAGATCATAAGTAATACATGGTCATAAATTCAAAACATAATTAAATACAGTTTTTAAAACATTATCAAACAATAAATAACCTAAAATGATATATACGCTTATGTAAGGTATCATTCTGAGATAGCTTATTTTCTAAAAAAATATAATCTTATTTGAAAATTGAGGGCGCGCTCATTCTTGAAAACGTAATGCATTTGCAGAAACCAGTGATAAAATTTCATTGTATTTAAATTAAATATTATTTCATTAAATAAATAATACCGTACATTTGTGGTCTCCCCCCACCCCACAATTGTTGATGGGTTTTTTTTTTCTACTATGATTTAACCAAACACGGTTCAGCCACACACGTCATAGCTTTCTCATTCTTCCAAAAACTTTTACGCACACTCTGTTACTCCGCAACTTTGAAAGATTACCCTTACTATACAGGTACAGTATTATGTTTAGTAATAAAGTATCCACATGGGCATTCGGTTATCAAGAAATGTGTGGTGTTGTTTACTCTAGTGATCTTTCTAGGACAGGTCTTTATATTTATTTTTGTCTTTAGCTCATGACTCATCACATCATTCCTCCATACCGGATTTACTCTAGCTCCCGAGTTGTAGGTAAGAATGGCCCCGGAAAAAATGGCCCCAGAAAAAATGGCCCCGGAAAAAATGGCCCCAGAAAAAATGGCCCCGGTAAAAATGGCCCCATATGACAGGTAGGTAAAAATGGCCCCAATGAAAAAATCGGTAATAGAAATGATATATATTTTTTTTAATCTTCAAATATTTAAATACTGTATAAGCAAGAATTGAATCAAGAAATAAAAAATGGCCCTCAATTATAAAATTAAAGAAAAAAATAAATAAATAAACAAATGTTGTAAAATACCTTGTAGCAAACATTTAATTAATAAATTAACATAAAGAATATGCATATTTGAGAACTAAAATAAATTAGTTTTTAGCTCCTATGAGTAGCTCTGGGAGTAGGTCTAAGCATGGACCTATTAACCTATTAATAGGTCCATGGTCTAAGTATTTTTTTAAAATTATTAATAATTTTAGATATTATTACTATATTTGCGGCAAATTATTAATATTATTATTATTATTAATGGCTCTGATGGGAGGCTCTAAAACATTGATTCGGCACCAGTTTTGAACGACGAACTTGCAGGGAATGTTATAAACCATTTTCGCGAAAT